ATTACGCCCAATAGAGCGCCACTGAGAGGAACTTTCAGTAGCATGTCACCTTTACTGAATGATTGAAGATAGCTGCGAAGGTGAAAATTCTTTTACTGAAAATGATAGTCGAGAGGATATAAACAAGGAGGAATGTTCGCTTTAACTACAGAGACGAAAAATGAACAAGAAATGTATGTGCGAGTTTAAAGTAACACAGAGTCATGGAGTTATGGATATCAACATGCACGTCTACCTATCATAGGGACGCATTATATCAGTTGCTAGATCAATGCGATTGTTTTTTTCTTAGGTTTCGATCGCTCCGTGCAACAGCCAATAACTATTGCATCCGCTTGTTGATTCACCTCCAGACGTATGCTGAAAGATAAAGTAGGGGCTATGCAATAGAATGACCCGCCTCCAAAGTCATACAATACGACGTGTTCTTCTTCTAGGACAAAATCTGCTGCCGGAGCTGAAGAATGATGCCGTTCGCAAGTACCACAAACAACTGAATACTGTCTAGTACAAGTAATTGTATAAAGGTGGATAGACTTTCTGAGTACATTGCGAAAAGAAAGATGAGCCGTTCAAAATAACGAAGTTCTTGGTGCATTAGTTTGATATTATTCATGACATATGTGTGTCTTTCATGACATATATGTCTCGCTTTCAAAAGCATAAACTTCTTGATACATTAGTTCAACGTTGATCATGGCATGCGCTATATTTCGGACGACGGTGCAAATAGAAAGTAGCTCCTACAGTAGATCCCGTAGGCCAATTTCCTTCAAGACCCTCAATCTAGGAAGGGGTTAAGTGAGGTGGTTTTATTGGACGCAGCATCAGTATCGAAAATCTATAGTGATATGCCGTACGATTGATCAACTATGTCCCTATACACTAAATCTTCTCCTGGTTATGATAGACGTGATTATCACGTCAGTGAGGGTTTATTTTTGAAATATGCGAAACAAAGGTTTAATGCTTTGAGTGAATTTATTAATCGAGACTTTCTTTTACGAAGACATTACATTGATGAATAAATAGATTATTGATTATTTAATATAATGAACATTGTGACTTTATCTGGGGATATTCGTTGTTTACAGCTTGTGTATAAAGAATTCTGACGTCTATTATTGAGAGGCAGCTTTGATATTGTCTTAAGAAATTACTAAGGCTGTGAAAGGGTACAGGGTAGGTTCAGCACTTAACTCGCAGTAGCGGCGCGTACCGAATACTAGCCTATAAAGTCAGACTAGCAACGTGTCGTACATAAATTAGGGTAAACACAGCAGATCTTGAGTCAATGCGGACACGGTTACATTTAGAGATATATACTTTTTCTCAGCACACAGGATATGGACGAATGGAATAGGTTGTACTTTAGTTTTCATCAGGCAAGGATGAATTTCACCGAAAGTGGGTTTTCTCCCAAGGGGATTAACATGCTTGAGATGAAGTATGTGAGCTGAGGTGTCAGCTGAGATGTCTTATACAAGCTACTGTATAGGAGAATCTGATAGTTGAAAGGCGAAAAGAGTATACATGCTTGACTCGAGCATGATTCGACTACTCTCCACAAATACTAAAGTCGAACTCCGAGTCCAACTTGTCTTCTGCTGAATATATAACCCTCTACCTCTTGTCTAGACATTGGTTCATCAGTTCAGGATCAAAGCCTGTACAATTTCGCAATTCGCGCCTTTTTGAGAATAACCGGAGAAGCTGTAGTATGTCTCTAGAAAATTCTACATCGATTATATGTTTTTTCGTGCTAATAAAATCTTAGTTCCCCTTCTTACTCAGAAATGATCACTCTACCAGCGGTGCTCATTGCCGCCCTTCTGGCGCCTCTTTGCAACGCAGATTCGGATCAAAAATACCTAGGACGACACAAGTACAACTTCAATCAAATCAAACCTCTGACTCATCCCACTTCAGGTGAAGTCAAATGTTGCCCGGAGGGCACGGTCTTTGATGGCACCGCCTGTATGCTAGGTGTGCCAAAATGCTCCAATAACACTTTCTTCAAAAACGGCAAATGTGTGTCCACTGTTCCTCCAAAATGTCCTATTGGACATGTTTTCAACGATGAGCTCTGTGTTACCGAGGCCCCTCCAAATTGCCCTCATCCTTCCGAACTAAAGGGTGAAGTCTGTGTTACCAAAACCATGCCTACTTGTCCTATGGGATTTGAAGTTCAGGGCGAGTCTTGCGTTTCCAGTCAGCCACCCCACTGTCGCTCGGGAGCTTCAGGAGCACCTCCAGAGGAGTTCAATGGCAGTAAATGTGTAAGCTCCTCAGGTCCAAGTTGTCGTGTGGGAACCGTACTTTTTAATGGTATGTGTGTCAGCAAGAAACCACCTGTCTGTCCCAAACCGACCGTCTTCGAACCTAGCATCAAACGCTGTATATCTGATAAGGGACCTGTCTGCCCCGATGGCACTTCCTTTAAAAACGATAATTGTATTTCCAATGAGAGTCCCAAATGTCCCTCAAGGACCGACTTCAACTCCAGGACTAAGACATGCACCCTGGTTCAAGGCCCAACTTGTCAAGAAAATGAAGTATTTGAGGGTGGCAAATGCTACTCCGAGAGCAATCCAGTATGTGAGGACGGTATTGTTTTGTCTATCGATCATTCCACCAACACCGCTCAATGCTGCCCATCAGGCATGGCGTGGGACGGTGCAGTCTGTTTCGTCAGCGTTGGCAAGGAGGGTGATTGTCCTAATGGCCTGATCAAGGTCGGCAATCGCTGTGAGAAGCAAACAGCCAAGCCCCCCTCATGCCCTCCAAAGTACAAGTTCGAAGGCGCCCGCTGTGTGTCTCACAAGCCCCCCGCATGCCCCCCCAAATTTACTCGCGAAGGGACTGTTTGTTCCTCGTTCAAGTCACCATCTTGTCCTCTGAATATGACTCTCAAGGGATCTGAATGTGTTTCAACCAGGGATATATCTTGCCCTGAAGGCTTCAATATTGACGGGGAGCACTGCGTCAGCCTTAGAAATCCTGGCTGTGAGGATGGTTCTCGACTCATTGGAAACAATTGTGTTTTTGGTGCGCCCGATTGTGATACAGGTATGTTCTTAGTTGGTGGTCACTGTGTCACAATTAATCCTCCAATTTGCACTGCCAATGATACCATCTTCGACGGTCACCGCTGTCTGTCCAAGGTGCCGCCGAAATGTCCTGCAAATAGCTTGCCTACTGCTGATGGAAGTTGCATGATAAATGTCCGTCCCATCTGTAAGGAAGGCTCGGTTCTCATCCACGGCAGTCAGTGTGCCACTGGGCCCCCTGAATGTGATAAGGGCCTCATTTTTGATGGTAAACAGTGTGTCACCGTTGAAACCCCCGGGTGTCCTTCGTCCTATAAGTGGATTGGAGGCGAGTGTGTAGAAACCGAACCAAAGGGCTGTGAATCAGGCTATACCTTGCGCAATGGTGAGTGTGTTTCAGACAAAGAACCACTTTGTGCTCCCCCAGCTACATTTGACGGTAAAAAATGCGTGGGTGGTCAGCCTAAATGTGACGTGGGCACGGTTTTCGACGGAACCGAGTGTGCATCTGAGCAACCACCCAGGTGTACCGGGGCACTAATATTCAACGGCAAGAAGTGTGTAGCGAAGGTTTCTCCAGACTGTGGGCTAGGAATGAAGTGGGCGGATGGTTCCAAAGAGTGTATTAGCGAGCAGTCTCCGGAGTGCCCTTCTGGTCAGGAATTTAACGGGGAGCATTGTGCTTTGGTCTCGGGCGATTGTATGGAATTTGAGTTCTGTGCTACAAAGAGCTCGTCACCACTTTCACACGTTTCCTCATAGTTGACTCTTTTTAACGAATGGAAGTTTAAAGTTTTTCATTGAGTTTATAATATTATCATTTGTTCATCTGGAAATATAAATCAAATACACTTTATTCAATATATTTGAAAGAATAAGTACATAATTAGTTCTTAAGCATTGTTTTTGTATTTATAGTCATATGTATTGAATGACTTACAGCTTTCTCATTCGAGGTTTGAATAAGGGAATGATCTATAACTTATAGTTCCTGACTACTATATATCTATATCTTATGTGAAATTCTATAATAAGTATACTAAATCACTTATTAATATCTTAATAATCAAGAGATATTTTGATGGATAATATATGTATAATTTGAATTTATATTATTAAATCATATTATATTATTATCATATAATATCTCTTATCAAATTGATTTATAATGGAATAGAATGAGATAGAATTATATGGAAGATTATTGACAAAATGGACTAAATTGATTGATATACTTTCTTTTCATAATATAATACGATTCTATAAGATTCGATTTAAATCAATCTTATTTATAAGTATTAAAGCTTTAGGATTTTATTATAAACTATATAAACCTAGGATATTCTTTAAAGAAAATCTAGAAGGAATAAGCAAATTAGATTCAATTCAATTCATTCCTATAATTTGACTTCAATTCTATTATTATATTATATATTCGATTTGTCCCTAAGCTAAATCTGATTAAGTTTTTCACTAAATATTATAATAATATTATTTTATTATAATATAAGAGCCTACATTCAAGATCTTATGTGGAGAACCTTTTTCTAGGGAAAAAAGTATATAACCGATATTCCTACCACATATACGGCCCTACTATATGTATAATCTCAATGCCCTATTTTGAATTACTTTATAAATCAATAATGATTTCAATTTATAAGAGCTCTTGGGAAGATGGTTCGCAGAAAACCCAGACAAGCGCAAGGACATCTATTTGCCACGATCATTCTGTGGATATTTATATAGCCATGTTTCGGTATCTTGAAAGGTATCTACTATCTACAGCATTTGGGAATAGCTTTGGTGTGAAGTGCTATAGATAAGGGTTTTTTTTTCGTAAACAAGTGGCAGAGATTAATCGACAATGCACAGTCAATACATGTCTCATGTCAACAGTTAGACACGTACGATTTCTTGATGATATACATCAAGGTCAGAATGAGTATCTCATTTTTCTAACTTGTCTTCAAACCCATATTTGACATGCAGATTTCCCAACCAGGTCTGCGTGGCTTCAAGTCCCCATAGCATCGTCATTACCAGCACACCAAACTCTTCTAAGTCTGCGGGTTTTACATTCGCTATTTTCTCATCCCAACGCGTGACCCATATCTCGAGTCTCGCCGTCTCTTCTCGGGCCCTCGTCCAATCGTGAGCGGATTGCGCACCCCAAAGTGCTGCCTGGGCGGTGAAGCATTGATGTGATTTCGTTGGGACGTAATAACCAAGTTTCAAGAAATTGTAGACTCCGTTCAGCATGAATGTAGCTATGACGGTCCGCCGTATACTCTCATTCACGAGCCAGGAATTCCAATTCGAATCACTACCTGTGGTCACGATACTCATCTCTGTCGAGTTTAGATCAAACAACACATCCTGGTGCTCATGGTAGATCATGTTGTTTAGTTGCGCTGCCCACGAGATCGTAACCGATTCATCGGCTTCCGCATGTGCTCTTAGACGAATGTCGCCATCGAAGAGCCGGATTATCTGGTAAAGTAAAAGGGCTTGCAGAGCCGCGAGAAGTTCTGTTTTAGTAACGAGTAGTGCGTTGGTACTAGCAATCAACTGCTGGCATTTAAGCTCCAAATTACCGAACACCAATGCTTGATTCATCGCACCTCTCATGCAATATAATGCACATGCGCTCATCGCATCATGCAAAGCCACAGAAGGGTTTTGCTGGAATTGCATCCTGTGGATGAAGATAGTATGGCCATTCTGCACGAACGTTCCCGGAATGATAGCAAGCCGCTTTGCCATGAACTCCACCCGGGGCAGGAGTTCCACATCTGAGCTGGCTTGGGTAATACCCAAGTCGGGACTACTCAGGATCTGTTGAGAGGAAGAGGTTTGTATGCTATGAAAATCGAAGCTGTAATTGTCAAAGAGATCTGTGAGGTTGAAATTGTCTGTAAGCTTTGAGGGTGCCCCGTCCCAGCATGGTGTAATTGCAGACGAAGGTTCCGCATGATACTGCTCCACTTGCCAGTTACTTGATGCTCGTCCAGAAAACTGCTCTTGGCTAGGAACTAGCGGCTGCATAGCAGTATCAATAATTCGCTGCTGCCGGTGGCAGTCTCGGCCGATGTAGTGGCATTCCGAACCCCTTTTGATACAACGCTGACAGCGTGGCAAGCCTCGGTCACATTTCCGCTTCATCTGAATGCACGCGACGCATGACTTATGCCGTAATCTGTTCGACATTGCAATTCATCGTTCCTCTGTTGAGGGGTCACAATGAGCTCTGGTTGTTCGTTTTGCGAAGTTTCCTCAGATCTCATGAGGGATTAAAGAATGGGTTTGCGGAATCGTATTAAAGTTTGGTTGAAACTCCGCTAGCGTCTTTCTTGCGGAGAACGCTAAGCGTAGTCACATGATACATGATTCAATTGAAGAGATCCTTTTGGGTAAGTGCTACTTTATATTATAGTTCATTAAAACGAGGATGGTGATCCGCAACTCCGCAAATACCGTGATGTCGAATCTGGTCGAAAATAAAATAATCCGAGATGAATACTGGTAGTCATTACTCACAGGAAGAGTATATTTGAAGACATTTGTTCACTGCTCCAATTGCTATGAAATCAACATTCATCCGTCGAACTTTCAATATTTGCAAAAAATCCCAAAATCTCAGACCTCTACTTTCTTCAAAGCAAGCAATACACTATGTCTACTCCAAATCAAACTCTTGGCGAGTGGGCAGCAGAGCTCAACGATATTCTATTTATGCAATCAAATACCGAAGTTGCTCTCAAAGCGCTTTCTGAGCAAGTGGATCCTAGTCTCGTGATGAAGTAAGTAACTCGGATCTTACAAGTTCTTTGGAGCCCAGCTAATATAGTTGTATCACCAGAATCAATCACACTGTCTGCTTGTATAGCCAGTTTGCGTCAATTGTTGAACAAGAACGAAAGACTAAAACGATGTTCAAAGACACATGGGATGTGCTTCATGAATGGCAGGACCCGGAAAAGAAGGACGGCGTTGTGGCTATATCTACAAGATGGAGGATCAAGGATGATACAACAGGCGTGGAGACGAAGAAGAACAGTTGGGTGATCTGGGAGATCAAGCTAGTTGATGGAAGGAGGAAGCTCACAGCTATGACCGAAGTGGAATGATCCTTAGTGACATTACATGAGCTGAGAGGCAATAGCTAGCTATCTCGAACTCAATCTTTTTAGATCTTCATCCTGGGTATCAATACTACATGGGCATTGATTGTATGCGATCAATTTAATCGAAATCAACATACACGGGATATGCCATTCAAATATGTTGCATGCGAGTATGGCTAGGGCACAATCGTAATTCGGTAAGCGCAAGTTAAAGAAGTACCAGATACTAGGTAGTATTCATGCCTGAAAAGGATTTTGGGGCTCTCTATAGGCCAATAAGGATTCAGGTATTGCAAAGCCTGAATTTTGTGATCAATGAACTTTTGAATTCCATGAGTCGGTGATCGTATTGAGTGAGAGCATTGCATAGCTAGAGAGCTTTCTTGAGTCATAACAAATTTATGGTCAGAAGAATTCTTCGCCCCATCTAATCAATCAACTTTGATATCATTTTCAAGAATTCTATGCATTATCAAAAGTTCCGACCACCCAACAGCTTATAAACACTTGAATTGGCTTGGGTACAAAGCATAAATGGGAAATACACATACTAACAATGACATTCGTCATAATTCTTCCAACATCCGATTAATCTTGCTTTGTAGACCCGTAATATGTACAGCTTTTGGTAAGTTCGAGGAAATGACGAAATTTGCACATGTTTCATGATTATGCAAGTATACCTCACAAGCAGTTAACCACCAACGCCCGTATTATTCACAAAACTGGTAGATCCCGTTGCATACCCCTGGCCTCCCCATACACCATTTGCAGACGTAAGAATAATTCAACACTCCAAATTGCGCCAGATATCATCCCATCGATCATTAAGAAGGATCGGCACCTTAAATATTGGTAGCAGCTAACAACTGCTGTCTCAATCTATCTTCCACATTCATTTCCTGCAATTCCAGATTTTGGTGATGACTTTCGACTTGTTGTGATTCGTCGTGTCCAGATTCCTCGACTTGCAATATCTCGGGGCTGTTACTTCCGCTTTTATGATCTTCCATAGGCTCTGGAGTCTGTTGATAAGGACTTCCGTTTGCATTCTCTTGGTTTGAATTCTGCATACCTGCAGCCAAAGCCAGTACACCATGAAATCTTGCGCTCTCTTCATTCCCTGCGAGTCTGGCCCTTTCTTCCGCTTCCTTCCTGGCTGCTTGAGTCGGTGCTCTGGTCTTCAGTTCACCAGTCACGCATTGAAGATAATATGGAACCTCAATATTACTCTTGAGAAAAAATAGTTTGAGGTTGCGCGCTTTATCTTTCAGTTGAACTTGGTTCCGATCGCGTAAAATAGTGCTGACTGATCCTTTGTCGCCGTAAAGAGCAAGTATTTGACTCCAATGTGGACCTTTGACCGAATCGAGACCTGCCATTAAGGCATTCTCTTCTTCTGTGCTCCATGGGCGACGTTGAGATGGTAGTCCAGGTCTGGCTTTCTGTCCCGGATTATTCTTTGCAGCTGCAGCTTGTCTAGCTTTTTCGTAAAGAGCAGAGGTTGATTCCGATTGAGAATGATGAGGTGTAGTTGTAGATGTACTAGTAGTATTATATTGAGTTGAATAAGTATTAGGTGATTGATTGGGTGGTTGATAGGTGGTTTGATATTGAGATTGACGATAGCCTTTGAATTCAATTAGTCAGGGATTGTAAGTGAAGTTGGTACAAGCATACCATTCTGTGGAGTAGTCGATTGTTGATATATGCCTGCATCTTCGGGGACGTTTTGAGTTGTATGCTCAGTATCTGCATTGGTGCCAACGTATGCAAAAGCATTTCCATTCGAAGGACCACCATTTGAACCCTGCGAGTATCCGGTCGAAGTGGGGATCGTGAGCCCATATTTAGACATATAAGGTTCTACCAATGGTCTATAAGCATCCATATGAATATGGGTGGATCTTAGAAAAGAGTCCCAGTTGAAGAGATCGCTAAGTTCCTCTGCATATTGGTCAGTATGAGAAAAGTAATGCGGGGGAAATCTTACTAATTTTGGCGGGATCATTTCCTTGGTTAATCAAATATACTCTTCTAATATCTAAATCGACAAGTAGTTGTAGCTCATCATCTGTGAGAGGATAGGGATGTCTTTGGGAGAGAAGATTCCTGAACTCTGGAGAAAATATCTCATCTATAAGGTCCTCGACAGGTTTGTCTGACTCTTCCATCGATAGTGCTGCAACAATAATTTGTGTCTTCAAGTTCATGAGCAATTGACCCGATGCTTTCGATATGGCCTCTCCTTCCCGAGTCCAGGTGTTGACGAAATGTTCATTGAGTTCATAAAATCCAACCTCTTGTCCACCGAATACGCTGGATACAAAAGTCGCATGATTTGCAAGTCTAATAATCTCTCGTTGAGCTGGGTCTATGATATTGAGTTCGTCGGCAGAGAGAAAGGTTGAAGTTCCATAAATTCTCTTTGTTTTGTCAAAAAGATCGTTCAATGTTTGGAATGACAGTCCACGAGCGGTATCTCTTTGAGTTACCATGACGACTATCTCATCGTATCCTCCTTCGGAAAGAATGTTTAACATTTGCACAGCCTGAAGATGAATTAGAGCCATCCATACAATTTCACATTGAAGATAACCATACCAAACATTCCAATGACATTAGACTTATCACCTGCAGAGACAGTTGATGATCGGTACGGAGTCGTTCGTAGGCAGCACGACTGTTCGGTTGTCGAATCTGAGCATGAGGAGTTTTCGGAGGAGAAAGTGTACTTGTGTTGGCTTCATGCGATTGGTCTTGATGGGAGGTATGATCGTTCATTTCCATAGTTCCCGCATCTTGGTACTCGGCGGAGACATGAGCAACACCAGAGGCAATGATAGCGTCGATATCGAGATCCCCCAAACCATCATCTACATCATCTGCGGGTTGTATGGCGACAATTTCATTGGCGGAATCGGGGATGGAAAGTTGTGGTTGCGCTGATTCGAATTCAATCCTCTGCCTCTTTTCTGGTGATTCTAACTCTGTCGATGATACTCTTCGTTTCAATGCAGACAATTGAGGAGAAGATGGGAGATTTTGGGAGGTCTCGAGTTTTATCGGAACATCTGCGAAGACCAGTTGTTAGGATGACGAAGTGAACGGGGAAAATGGGGTTGGCTTGAATGTAGGAGGTCCCTCTCGACCTTCCTCGTCATCTTCTCCATAAACTTACCATCATTAGTTGAAGCCATTGTCAATGAGTTTATAGATGAATCTGCCATGGTTGGAGTCGCATGAAAATTTGGAAGAGATACCCCTTGTTTTGTATCATGCAAGATTATTTGTATAGGCGCAACAGAGAATTTTCCATTCATACCAAATCTAGATTAAACAAGCGTCATTAACTTATCAGTCATGTGATATTTTAGCCCTGAAAATTGAAACCTAAAACCCAATCAGACAAATCTCAACCGTTTAAAATGATAGATACACAGAAGGAAGCCAAGAATGAAAATTATTCATTGATACGATCTATTATGTATATACGGCATTCTGTCGATACTGAAGATTTGATCTCAATCACTGGGGAGTTTCTTGAATGTCATAATGTTTAATTGCAAATCATCTTGTGGTAAAAGTGGTCAGCTACAAAAAATCATTTATCTACTCGACTCTAGAAACTTTTCCCCAAGATAAGGATTGGCAGTCAAATATATGTGTACCAAATACGAGCATAGAATCATTCTCAGAGATTTACTTGCTAGAGCCAGAGACAGGAATTCGTGCGTGGTAATGAATTAAAAGAATGTTGATAGTCAGGGATGACATAATATTTGCACCTTTCACATGGTCACTTCTCTTCTCATTCTACATAGAATCTTGGGAAGGAGGTAAGATTTCGTCGTCGATGTAGTTTACATTTCTTTGTCTGCGGTCTAGGTCAACACCTGGCGCATTGATTAATCCTAATTATCCTATTGTCATCGATGCTATCTGCGTGGAGTTCCCCAGATATGGATCAGACCTGCACTGTGGTTAAGATATCTCGAGTAATGTCACCAATGGGGTACATTGTGAAATCCACCAGAAGGAATTGTATCCGTCCATGTATTCATGGGATGATACTTTCTTACCTGCCTCGAAGTCTTACCATATCCCTTATTCTTTTGTCAATGGAGGTATTTGAAGAGTTGAGACTGATCACTTCTTCTTTCCATCTAACCTCGCAAGTATATGAATAGAAAGTGTTTTCTTGAGTACGACGTATGTGATCTTTCACGATCTCCGTCATTCAAATGGTCCAGATTGCAAGTAGGTTGTTGATATAGAGAGCTCTTGCAAATATGCTCTGTTGGCCCTCACCATATTGAAGCGTAGGTGAGCCAAGTAGAGACTACTACGGAGAAATCCCAAGTCCAACCTTCTAGAATCTCGCTCGCCTGAGCCTAGCTTCTACATGAATTTATGTGATCTTACCTCCACTGCATCTGTCTGAGGGCTAACCTCATTTCTTTTATACAACTTCCAGATGGGTACAATGACTAATCATACCTAATCAAATTCCATGTAGAATTTGTGTATGGTGGGATGGAGATGATTACCAAAGGATATAGAGTGTTATCGAATACAACATTCAAAATATCCCATATACCCAGGTAGCTGAATGATTACATCGTCGAACTGCTGATGCTTACACTGGCAACTAGTAAGTCTTGACACATGAATGAACTCGAGTCAATACGGAGCACTCATCAATAGACAGTGAATCTTGATCAAATCATGAAGCCGGAACTCATGGGGGTTCAGCTGGACGCAATCAGCAAGCAAGTAGAAAGAAGGGTTGATTTATTAGTAGGTGGTCGTCTATCGTCTCAATTCTTTTGATATCCATTGAATGAGTGTCCAACTCATCATGTCCACAATTTGACCGAACCAGAGCATGAAGCTGGGATAGATCCGAATAGTAACCGAATTTTTGACGAAGAAGTACAGAGAATGAGGTATGATGACACGTCGCTCTTGGTATTTAGAGTTTTCTTGCGGAAAGGGCAATATAAACTAGAATGGATTCGTCGAGTGAAGCAAAGCAATACATTGTTTTTGGGATCTATAAATTCTCAATTCTCGATTGACGAAAGGCATCAAGTGAGAGTCAATTGCAGACGAGCAGGGTCTCACTCTAATCGTTGAACCGACCTAATAAATCAAGGTTGATATTACCAAAAGCACGCGCGGAAATTCCTTCCGCTCCCCCATGACCCCAGGTACGGAACGAAATCTGGAGAAATGGAAACGCTTTGATTTCCTTTTCGGTTCTCCAGCTTTTTTCTTTCTCCAATAATGCAATGAAACGATAAACCAATGGCTCCTACACATCACTAACTGATTCGGTGTTTGTTGTGATTGTGAGATTTTATCACCGAATTTTCAATCATTTTATCGGTGATTAACCTTCAATTGTTGACTACGTAGGTACCTTTTGACAAGAAGCTTAAAAGATCGCGGGAACAATGCCACGAAAATGCGGAGACCGAGGTTATGATAACCCGATCGACCGAGAAGGGTTTGAAGAAATACAGCCATACCAAAGCAGAGCAATACGATGAAGAAAAGGATTTATAGGTATGCAACATGGCATCAACTACCTGTGCTCTCATGACATGCGTTAGGAAAGCAACATGATGTTTACCTGGGTAGGACGGTAAAGAACCTTATTTGACTCGTCAATTAAATCTACTGTAGATACTCGACTACAGGAGTATCTACATCAATGGTGTGGATCAAATTTAGAAAGGACATACTCCGTAAGGATGTACCTTCCCATTCCATTAAGATCCCGGCACTAGCAGTAGCAGAGATCTCCGTGAATGAGGGGTAACCTTTGACTTCCTACATGTAGAGGGTGACATATTAGTGGATCATCACTGGGTCCCCACCTACCCGAGCGAGCTCCCCCCTCTGTACGTCGAACATCAGACTCAAGCCAGGTACGTACAGTCTACTAGGTAACACTAATCATCAAATTGATGCTTGAAGGGCATACGGAACTTTTACTCGTGGTGCACGAGGTGGTAGATTAATGGATTGGTGATATTGGCATCATTGAAATGATTGGATGCTATTGAGAGCGGTTTCCAATCACGGCTTAAGAACTACCCCTACCCCTCAAATGCCACCGAAACTGTGGAGCATGAAGCACGCACTAGATATTAGGTGGGGGGGTAGGTGAACACCTCGTACTTTATAGGTCCAGCAACAAGAGATGAAGTTGGACGCAAAGTTGGTTTCCTCAGCCTCTCAATAAGTCGGGACGCTCTTGGAAATGAATCAGGGCTAGAATCATTCATATTCCCCTTTTGGTCGTGATTCTAGAAATACAAAGAATGTAGTGGGGTGAAAGGTGGGAATATATGTAATGGTTTGGGAGCTGCATGTTATAGACAAGTTCCACTCACGCTGTCGGTCTCTTCCTACAAAGACAGCAGTAGCAAATCAATTTCTCTCAACCTCCATGGGATATGACCGTCAGGAGCTACCACTACCAACCTACTAGGTTACCTAGACATACAAGTCTGGTATCTCCATCGCTCCCTCACAATTATTGCCAAGATAACATTTAAATACCCACCCCGCGTCTCACCAATTTGTCTAATTGTTACAAGAAACCTTGTGAATACCTACTAGTAGTATACGGTATACGTAGACATTTGCCGAGTATTGATGCCACCACCCTTCCGCCTCCTTCCCTTCAAGGTTGCTTTCGGATTTAGATATCATTAGCTTGGATCTACACTGCAATTAATAATTCTTTGGAAAGGAGGCAATTGTCCATTCACTACTACTTAAACCCATTACCCGACCCCTTCACCTCTCCGTCTCTTTCTTTCATTCCTCATTATCTCTTCGCACTTCAAACAAATCGATTCCCATATCACAAGAAATATACCCAGGAGCAACTACTTTCATCGCGTGTCACAAACATATACCCATCATGACTTCAGTCCAACTCAAAACGCCACTTACTGGCGAATATACTCAACCCACAGGATTGTATGTTGCTATCCAAAGATCTCTCACTATTTACCCCGCACCCCGCACCCGTAACAAAACATCAAACAACAGCTAACAGTATCTTGTTACAACAGGTTCATCAACAACGAATGGGTCAAAGGTGTTGATGGAAAGACTTTTGAAGTCATCAATCCTGCCACTGAAGAAGTAATCACTTCCGTACACGAAGCCACTGAGAAGGATGTCGACATCGCCGTCGCAGCTGCACGAAAAGCATATGAAGGAGAGTGGAGCAAAGTTACACCTGAAGGTCGTGGCAAATTACTTGCCAAGTTAGCAGACTTGGTTGAGAAGAATGCCGATCTATTGGCAGCTGTCGAATCGTTAGACAACGGAAAGGCAATCTCAATGGCAAAGGGTGACGTTGCCGCCGTCGCTGGATGTTTAAGATACTATGGTGGATGGGCAGATAAAATTGAAGGAAAGGTTATCGACACCGACCCAGAATACTTCACATACACAAAGCAAGAACCAGTATGTCCTCTCTTAATATCTAGGTAGATAAAGTTGAATTGCTAACATTACTCTAGATTGGTGTCTGTGGTCAAATTATTCCATGGAACTTCCCATTGCTTATGTGGTCATGGAAGATTGGTCCCGCTGTCGCAACTGGTAACACCGTCGTTCTTAAAACCGCCGAACAAACCCCTCTCTCCGCACTTGTTGCCGCAAACCTCATCAAGGAAGCCGGTTTTCCTCCAGGAGTTGTCAACATCATTTCGGGTTTCGGAAAGATTGCAGGTGCGGCCATCGCATCTCACATGGATGTTGACAAGGTCGCTTTCACTGGTTCTACCGTTGTCGGTCGTCAAATCATGAAGGCCGCTGCTGGATCCAACTTGAAGAAGGTCACACTTGAACTCGGAGGAAAATCACCAAATATCGTCTTTAATGATGCTGATATCGAGAATGCTATCTCCTGGGTTAACTTCGGTATCTTCTTTAACCACGGACAAACTTGCTGTGCTGGTTCAAGGGTTTACGTTCAAGATGGTATTTACGACAAATTCGTTGAGAGATTCAAGGCCCGTGCCATCGCCAACAAGGTTGGAGATCCATTCCACCACGAAACATTCCAAGGTCCACAAGTCTCCCAACTTCAATATGACCGTATCATGGGTTATATTGATGAGGGTAAGAAGTCTGGTGCCACCGTTGTTACTGGTGGTGAGAGACATGGTGACAAGGGATACTTCATTCAACCTACCATCTTCTCTGATGTTACTGAAGATATGAAGATCATGCAAGAGGAGATCTTCGGACCTGTTTGCTCTATCGCCAAGTTCTCTACTGAGGAGGAGATTATCAAGATCGGTAACGGCTCCAACTACGGTTTAGCCTCTGCCGTCCACACTCAAAACCTCAACACTGCTCTCCGTGTATCCAATGCTCTCAAGGCAGGTACAGTCTGGGTCAACTGCTACAATATGCTACACCACCAGGTACCATTCGGTGGATACAAGGAATCCGGCATTGGACGCGAATTGGGTGAAGCAGCTTTGAGCAATTACACACAAACCAAGTCTGTAAGAATCAGATTGGGTGATGCTCTCTTCGGTTAAGGATTCTTTAATCAAGCAAATAGTGTTTTAATTTGTACAATTTTGGGGTTTTCAGGGCGATATGAGCCTGGTTTCGGTTCTTTGGTAGTATTAGCGTTTATGAATGAAATTACATGTCCATAAAATCAAAAGAATAATTCTTTTTTACTTTTCTTATCATATCGACGTTGTTGTTTGTGTATCCTAACAATCATGTCCTATTTCATAGTTTATACAACCGATATGATACATGACAGAAATAATGCCGATGTAAGACTTATCAACATCCCCTCCCGGTCGTTTATCATATCGATAAATTCTTGAAGTTGCATGTGCATAGAATATGCGATTGGAGTTATCAACGTGTTTAAGTCTTGTCTTATCTACGTATTTGTCTTTTCTATTGTAATTTGGATGTTGGAATTTTGGCGGGGTTCATTTGAACTTCATGAATCAAGTAAATGTAACTGGTGTAGTAGATGTGGGGGGTTCTTCGCAGCATCAATGAGAGCTTTTTTAAGCTTTGAGCTTCAGAGAACCCCGCTCCTCAAAAGGATTTCGATAAGGTGGTCTGGTGAAAGGAATTTTGGTATGACGCCAAAGGCGTTCACATGCTCTTACGCCAAGCATACGCAATGCACTGCATAGGTAGGGTCGCTCGGGTAGGTAGGTAAGCTTCGATTATATCATATAAACATATCTTCTACCAAATATGTATGTAGACGGTCCAGCCACAAAACGGATGTAAGGGCTGTAACCATAAGAAGCTCTAATCAATGTGCGAGAGCTCCTACATTTCCAAGCCGGTTCTTTGCAAGGACGCTACACACCTCGTTCATCAACCACCCAGTCAATTATAGCCAATAGGTCAGCTTCATCGTGTGATTGATCTTTGATTGCATAAATCTATCCTCAATTTGGTCAAGAGGTAAGGATGAAGCTCGAGTAAGCGCAAGTAGCTCCAGTGAGCAATTGATAAGGATACCAATCCTGAACGAAAGTCGCCGAGTTGACACTTAAAGTTTGGAGCTTCTATCGCAAGGCCGTTACGTATAAGTACACAGTTGGTCGTCATTTCTACCAGATACTCAAATCGTCCAAACAATGTACTGTGGGTGGAAAGGTATAAATGAGCGTGTAACATCTTGAATACTGATTATTACCATCCTCTGATACTTACAATCCCAAACCTTTTACGTCGATAGTATCATTCTATGCATTTATAACTCATCATACCATCAGAAATTATACTTCGCCGCGAAAGTTGTCGCAAACGAAGCTTTAAATTTACCCCGCATTCCCTACTGCATCCAGCTCTTGAAGCTTATCACGAACTCGTTTTGAGAAGCTTTGGAGGAGAGAAAATCTTTCGCTCAAAGGAATGACCCGAGGTGCTGAAAGAAATGACATAATGCACAACTAATGACGACAATCATCACAGTTTATATCTCTTGTTCGAATACTCGGCACAAGAATTGAGAGCGTTCTGGAAGACAATTTTCAAAACTTCATTCTTCACACAGATTCGATTTTTAAAACTATCTTGGATGCTATTTTGGACTTCAAACAGTAACTGGCACATTGAACCTTTATTGCCTTCCTAGAATCACTATCAAGATGGTTTTGGTATCTACTCTATTTATGTTCTCCATGACTTCACTTTCCATAGCTCAGTCAAACATGGTACCCATAACATGGTCCTCCGTTGTTTATACATATTATGGGGAAATCACCCCTACGATGATCAATGTCACTTCTCCTGTTCTTACACCTCTGGGGGCTAGTCAACTCTATAACTCGGGATCTATCATTCGCGACCGTTACCTAAATTCTACCTCCACACAGCTCACTGTTGGACTCCCCGTCAACGGCCTAAGTGATCAATATATTGTCAATAACCAATTACAAGTATGGACTACTGGTGATGAGTATATCGTCGGGAGCGCGCAAGCTTTCATGCAAGGACTTTATCCTCCCGTGACGGGAGTACAAGGAACAGATAGTGTATGTGTCATGTCTCAATCTGCTCTCATTTCTATCTCTCCCTATCTCTCAGTCTCACGGTATCCGTTTCTCATTGTCTATTATTTTTGTAAACTGAGTCATTACTGATATGAAGACGTGTTGCGATGACAGGTTCTAGCCAATGGCACCGTCATCGACTATCCTCTGGGTGGTTATCAGTATCCCAATATTCAATCGCTGAGTTCAATGGATTATAATTATATTTGGTACGCATTTCACCTTTTCTCTACAGCTCATCTTCACTATTTTTGGAATATTTGCTGATCTTCTTGCAGGATCGCGGGGAATGACCAATGTAGAACCTACGACATTGCAACAAAGTTTACAAAGACATCCCCAAGTTCAACCTCTATGATGGCTAGCTCTGATGAATTTTATCTCTCTCTTGCAAATACCTTCTTCGCTGGCATCGATAACTCTCTACTTAACTATGGCAACGCAATCAACCTCTATTACTATGCACTTTACCAATATAATCACAATAGCTCTATTTATGATATGACCAATTCATTCGGTCTTCTGGAGACTTTGAATGGTTTTGCATCAGAACAGGCTATCTCTTTTAACACGCCTAGCACGGGGTCCAGTATTCAATATATAGCAGGTCAAACCTTTGCCTCCAAAATTATTCAACAATTTCAACAGACCATTTCGAGTTCTGGGGTCAGCGACAAATTGTCTCTTTACTTTGGTTCCTACGAACCAATGTTAGCATTCTTTTACCTCTCATCCCTCTCAACTTCAGATCTCACAAGGAAGCGTTTCTCTAAATTGCCAGAATATGGAAGCATGATGGCCTTTGAGCTATTTAGTTATATTGAAGAAGCACAATACAATTCATCCAATTCATTCCCAGAAGCGACTGAATTATGGGTTAGGTTCTTATTCAGAAACGGAACTTCGGACACCGACCCTTTGACATCCTATCCCCTTTTCAATCTCGGCAATTCGGAGATCGACATGAAGTACAATGATTTTGTCACAGAAATTGGAAAGTTTGCGGTCAATGATTTGGACGCCTGGTGCAGTTCTGTGCCTCCATCTCCTTATTCTGCGCGGCCATCCTCAGTAACGAGTCTTCTAATCTCGCTTCAAGCAACACTAAAACATTTCGTGCAAAGGGTGTCAACGGTGTAGTTGGTGGCATTATTGGGGCAGTTGTTACGTTGGTAGTCGTGATGATTATTGCATTAATTCTCGCGATCTTTGGGTTCAGAATGCACCATCGTGAGAAGATAATTCCTAACGCCGCAGGTGGTGTTGGGATCCTAAAACGAGGCTCATCCGCGGGTGGAGGAGGGTTCAAAGGTCCTGAGAAACTCGCGTCTGATACAGATCTTAATATAGTCAAAGGACCTGGTGTTGGTGCTACCACAAAACACGAAAGAGTCGGCAGCTGGGAAATGGGTAATGCACCTATAAACAATGGCAACAGCGGCGAAGGAACTGGACCAAGACAGGAAAGACTAGTGAGTACCGCGGATTACAGCAGGAGAAGCGAAGACGGAATCGGAAACCATGATCCTTGGGGGAAGGGTGTCCAGGGTGAGGACTATGTTTAATGTATGGCAGTTTTTGTGTATTCCAGTCATAAGAGATCTCGTTCCGTATCACTTTTACTGTTACCAAATGGTGGTGTTTGAGGAGTCTTGATTGTAAAGGTGGAATTGACAGTGGCAATAGATAGAGAAGTACCTACGGTCGCCTGATAATAATCAGGCGATCTGCAATTTTTTTACGCAATGCTCAAACTAAATACCGATACTGCTCACAACTATATTCCCGTGCTATTATTTTACCGCTATGTGCATATCACGATGGCCCATCCCTCAAGGTAATCATGTCCACTTGAGCCCAATTTCCGCGGCTTTTCAGCATGGATGTCCCCCCTTCCCCGAGGAAGAGTAATAGTCTCTCTGTCTACTGCGCTGGTTGAACGCTTCCAACTTTCACGGACCCTAATCTGACCTTCCTGAGTTTAGCTTTCGATTGTTTCTCTGTAATTCGATGAGCGGGGTGATTCTCGCCAGAAACCAATTCATTTTTGATATACAAGAGCCAAAAGCAACAAGTAGAGTAATGAAAAAAGTACCAAGAGCAATCTGATACTTTTGAAACATATTCCGACCGGAAAATATTCCCTCCATTCTGATATTTGCAACCGCTAGTTGCATCGTCGCTTCCTCGACGTGCGGTGTTCGATGGTTGACTTTCTACTGGACTGTTGCCAGACTCTATGCGATACTTC